GATGTGCTTCCTATACTTTGAAAAGTTTTCTTAGGTTCATTAATATGATTGTAGACCTTCTTATGGACAATATTATTTTTTATATTAGTTACTAGTGTTGCTGGTGTATCCGTGTTATTTTTTGGTACTGTAAAATTTAAGATAACATAAATATCATAAATCAATTCACATAAATTATCAAAAGACATGATGGATAATTTTTGTTGAATATCTTCAGTATTCACTAGATTTGATAATTTGGTAAGACATAATGATTTAATATGATGTTTCCATAATTTAACAGATGCTTTATCTATATTTTTTTTATGACTAGCTATATTATTATTATTGTTGTTTGTGTTGTTATTATTATTTTCATTTTGTTGATTTTTCTTTTCAATCATTGCTTGTTCTTTTTTTTTTAATTTTTCTAATTTTAATCTTTTATTTTCTGCAATAATTCTTGGATCATTATTATAGGCTAAATCTACTAATTTAATAATTCTTAGATTTTCTGTTTTTGATGCTTTTTTTTGAATTTTTTTATTTTCTCTTTCCATCCATCTTCGTTCTTCTCTACATTCAGCTTGTTCATAATCATATTCATTTTGATAAGAGAAATCTCTCCAATTATTAAAATTATACCAGAAGTCATAAAAATATTTTACTTCTTTTATGTCTGTATTTTCATCACCTATATCTGGTACAGGTTTGATTGCTGACCATTTAGCGTTTCTCTTAAATACAGGTCTTAAAAAATTATAAAAATTTTTTGCTTCTTCTAATTGTGTTAATGTTGGTATGCTTTCATCAAAAGGTATCGAACTATCATATTGTTTTCTTAATATTTTATCTGACAGGATTGTATATGAATCTTGTATTTTTAAAAAAATATTTTTTTTTTCATCATTTGTTAATTTTTCGATATTATATTTTTCAATAAAATACATGAAATCTTTTTCATTTCCATTATTATTATTATATGTTTCATTCATATATTTTTTTTTTTTATTTTTTCCTTTTTTCTTGTTTTTCTCTTTTTCTTTTTCATTTAGATATGCTGTACCTTTATTTTTATCTGGATGAAATAATAAAATTAATTTTTTATAACATGATTTTATTGTTTCTAGATCATCTGTTTCTTCAACACCTAATACATCATATACGTCAATATTTTGATCAATACACTTTTTTATTAAATTACTACCTTTTTTAAATTGACCTTTTATATTATCAGCACCATTATTATTTTCTTTATTATCATATTCATCTTGATTCACTTCTTCATCTTTCTCATTAACCTTATTTCTTTTGTCTTGTTTATCATTGTTTCTTTTATTATCATCATCTATATTATTCTTATTAATACTTTTTTCTAAGTTTACCATATAATCTATTTTATCCTTATATAAAAATATCTCTTCAATGGCTTCGATTCTTTTATTATCCTTAGTCTTTTTTATATTATCTTCTTGATTTAATAATAAAGGAACTTCATATTTTATATAAAACATGAAACCAGCATTCTCGAGTTTTCTTTTCCTTATATTAACACAATGAATAGATGAGATAAAAGGCAATATCTTTAATTCATTTGAATATTTTATTTCGTCTTTGTAAGCAATATCTTCTAGACATAATATATCCTTGCTCCTTTTTTTCCCTGCTTTATTTGACCATATGAAATTATTGCCACTCATTTTTTTCCTTTTTTAAAAGAAACAAATTTACAAAATAAAATTAAAATATAAGAAAATAAAAATAAAAGAAAATTAAAATTAAATTAAAATTAAAAGAAAAGAAAAATAAAAGAAAAGAAGTAATTAATATAAATATAAACTATAAAATATATAAATATATAATTTTTTTATATATTAATAGTTGCCATTCCTTTTATTTTTTTTATTTATCACATATAATAAAATGTTCAATCATTTATATGAAAAAAAAAAAAAAAAAAAAAAAAAAAAAAAAAAAAAAGAATATTCTGTTTTACCCGTCTTGTATTTTTTTTTTTTTTTTTCCCTCACTCACATTTGATAAATCATTATGTACAATAAATGGAAAAAAAAAAAAAAAAAATAAAATGAAGTTGTGTATATATGTATTAATGTATTTATGTATATGTATATGTATATATATATATATATATATATATATATATATATATATATATATATATATAATGTATGTATTCATTTTATTTTATTTTTTTTGTTTTGGTCCTTTATCACTCTTTGTAAATATCATCCCACTTTTACATTTTTTTCTCTTGGTTGTTATATTTGCATTATCCAAACATATAATATTACAAAAAAAAAAAAAAATTGCAGGGGATACAAGAAAATGATATCATATTAGATAATATAAATAGAATTTAAAGAAAAGTAAAAATATAACACACTACACATAGTTACAACTTATTAATGGAGACATATCTTCAATTCATATTTTGTAAAAACATATATTTTATATGATAAAGAAATAAATTTTAAAAGGATAAAATATAATGAAAAGGGATTGTATATTGTAAATATATATATAATAAATAAATAAATATATATTATATATATATATATATATATATGTTATATACATATGTAGTATTATATTATATATAATAAAATAAACTTACATAAAAACATATAATAATTATATATCATATTGGTTTTGTTTTTTAATAAGAAAAAAAATTTATATTATATATATTATCTCGTTTTATGTTTTCCCACATTTATTTATTATCATCATCCTCTTTATAAATTATTCAAAAGAATATATATATATATATATATATTTATATAATATACAATATTTTAATTATAAAATAAATATTTTCCTATACATCTTTTTTTTTTTTTTTTTCTTTCCTTCTTTCTTTATTTTTATAAAAGATTGTTAAAAAAAAAAAAAATAATAATAAATTAGAGATGTTGAAATACAAAATAAATAGTAATGTACAATATAATAATATTACAATTTTGTATAGTTTATTTTATAAAAATATTATATATTATATAAATTAATTATATATTTATATTTATATTTAATAGGTTATCATTCTTTTCTTTTTCTTTTATCTTTTAACTTTTATATTGTATTTATAAAGGAATAAAAATATAAATCATATATTTTTTATAACTTTATTTATTTTATTACTTCTTTTTTTTTTTATTCAATTTTCATATTTATAGATAAAATATAATAATAAATGTGAAAACTTTAAAAAAAAGGTGAATAAATGAATAAATAAAATAAATATAAAATTTATATGTATATGTATATATATATATATATATATATATATATAATAGATAAAGAAAAAAGAGGGTGATATAATAATATACTTTATTATTAACGTTAATTCCAATTATATATTATTATTTTTATATATTTTTTCTTTTCCAGCTTCCTTTTATATATATATATTATAATTTTAATATAAGATAAAGAAGAAAAAAAAAGGAACTATATATTTATTATTATATAAATCAAATTGATTGTATATTAAATATATACATTATATATATAAAGGTAAAAAATAAAAATATATATTAAGAAAAACTAAAAAATTATATAATATATATATATATATATATATATTTATTTATTTATTTATTTATTCCTTCTCATTGTATTATAAAGTATACATAAATATGTAATGTATATTTTTATGTTTATAAAAAATTAATATTTCTTATATATGATTTATACATGTATAGAGGTTACTTATAGGAAAAAAAAAAAAAAAAAAAAAATTGAAAAGGAAATAAAATATAGTTATAAATATTTTTTATAAAAACAAAACTTTAAAAATATATTATTAAAAATAATGAAAAATTTAAGAATATTCATATTTTTCTTTTTAATAAATAACTTAATGTTATTATATATTTATTTTTATAACTCTTTATGTAAACAATTAAAAATATATATATATTTATATATATATATATATATATAATGAATATTTAATAATTTATGCTAGTATAAATATATATATAAATAACATATATAAATTATTCAAAAAAATTGTTGGTTATTATTGTATGTATATTTAAAATAAATATTATCTTATAATATTTATATAATATTATAAATAATATATATATTATATATTCATATATTTTTTTTTATTTCTTTCTTATAACTTGAAAAGGAAAAAAAAAAAATAATAAGATTTACTTTATATAATAATGTAAATATTATAAATGTATATATTATATATATATATATATATTACTTCGCATAAAATTTATTTTGAAAAAAAATTTATGACTACCATTTTTTAAACAAAGCAACCTCATCAATTTATTTAAAATTTTGATGATATAATAAAATGAGGATGTTGTGAATAAGTTCCTTTGTTATTTTTTTTTTATAAATAAAACTTTGTCACCTTAAAAAATAATCAATAAAAAAATATGGAAACATATGTACATATATATAGACCATATGTATAAAAATTCTTTTTTCTTTTCAAGTGGGGAAATTATAAAAAAGAAATGTACACAAAAAAAATTTCCAATTTAATATATTTTCTTTAAGTAATTTTACAGAAGGGTTAAGTAATATTTGAATTAACTTATATAGAAACATGTTAAATGAATTAAAACGTCATTTTTTTTAAATAATATAAATAAATTAAAGTATATATAAAAATATATATATATATATATAAATATATATATATATATTATATATATAATGTAAAAATCGCTCACATTTTAATAGTACTATTATTATAATATAGTAATAATTAAAAATATATTATTTTTATTTAATGATTTTAAAATATTTTTTTTTCTCCATATATTTGCAGGAGTATATTTTTAAAAATATAATTAATTTTTTTTTTTTTTATAGAATCAACAAATTTAAAATATTTCTAAATAATCCAAAAGTAATTTATTTTGTATTATATTATTAATACTATATATATATATATATATATATAATAATTATTTATATAATGTGTATAGTACCTATTAATTTTATATATTTCTTGTTTTTTTTTTTTTGGGCTACTCCGGGAATCGAACCCGGGACGTCTTGCACCCGAAGCAAGAATCATACCACTAGATCAAGTAGCCTAATGTAAATTTTCCAAAAAATTGGATACACTATTAATAATACTAAATAAGAAGAAAAAAAAAAAAAAAAAAAATATATATATATATATATATATATATATACATTTATATATTTTATTATTTTTTTTTTGCCTTCTATTTACTAGTAACACAGTTATATCTTCTATATCATAGGATATAATATAATATATTCTTATATTTATTTATCACAAGTCATTGTAAAAAAAAAAAAAAATTAAAAGAAAAGAAAAAAAGAGGTTAATAATAAATATTCATTATATATTAAAAATATATATTTTTCATATATATTAAATAAAAAAAAAAAAGGGTATAAGAAAAAATATTACATATATATATATATATATATATATATGTATATGTTTGTGAACACTTGATAATTTGGTGATAAGACGAGAATTTATTTTTATTTTTATTTTTATATTTATTTTTATTTTTATATTTATATTTATTTTTATATTTATTTTTATTTTTATATTTTTATTATAATCGTATATACTTATTTTGATGCGAACAAGTTGTTTGCACCATGAGATCGACATAAGGCTATGATTGCTAAAGAATGTTTATCGGATCTGAAGAAAGATAAATGAGTATTTATTCCTATCCCTGATATTTCACACATATTTGTATACTTTGAACAATATAAGAAATTATTTCTAGTTGCTTGAAAGTTTGTATGAAATTCTAAAGAGAATCCAAATACTAGAGTATTATTTTCAGGACATGAAAAGTTAAGATACCCATCGGCTTTATATTTATCAGATATGACATCACCTAAATTTTTAGTTTTGCTATATGTTTGTAAATATTCTAAACCATTAGTTGTTTTATCAACACATGCAAGATATATCATACTTTGTTTAAATTTATTATTTTGTAAAACAGCTTCACAAGAATTTTGTCCTGTACGACATGGATATATATCAATTTTATTAGCTGATGATGATCCTATTCCTTTCATTAATGCAAATCCAAATAGTATTACTAATTCACCTGGACAAGTAGCTGATATTTTAGGTGCCTCTCCTTGTTGTATTACTTGTGTAATAAAATCGAAAGGTTTATTTGTACATAAAGCAAATATACGAATATCAGAATAATTTTTTTCAAATCCATTACCACTACATGATTCCTTCATAGGTTGACAAAGAGTAATACCGTTAGTACTACTTAAATATTTATGTTTATAAAAATCTAAATTTATGGAAAACCCCATTAATAATGTTGTTCCTATAGGGCATGTTAATAAACCAGGTGGAGGACCAGCATATAATTTTTGTGTACATTTTTCTAGATATTCTCCAACTGATATAATAGTATGATTATATTTTTCTTGATCAAATAATTGTAATCCATATGTTAATCCATAAAATATTAATGCATCTTTATATGCTTGTATCATATCTTTATCTTCCATAAAAAAACTAAATGGTAATAATTTTGTTCTTATAGGCATAGAATTATTATTAATTGAATGTACCCATTTTTCAAAAAAACTTGTATTTTCTACATTTAATCCAGGATTCCCACCTAATATAGCTATATGTTTTGATATTCTAAACTTATTTAAAATCTTTTGAGTTTCTTTCTTAAAAGTACTTGATAATCCCATCTGATGAAAATAAATATTAAAAAAGGTTTTTACATTTATATTATTTTCTTTCATTTTATTATATTCTTCTTTATTAATATTGATTTTTATGATAATCTTACCACCTAAATATATTTCATATGCTACATGTGTACCATGTAATTTAAAAAATAGCATCCATTTATTTACATTTTCTTCACATTCTGGACTATTCAATTTATTAGTATAATATTCATAACTACATTTACTATCTTCTTTTAACCCATCAAAATATTTTGGTAATTTATTTAATGCATTTTTAAAATTTTCACTAAATTTATAACTTGTTGTTGTTATTGGTATACCTGTATAATATCTTAAACAATATATTTTCATTAGAAATATTACATTGTTTTCTACTTTTAATTTTTTTAAAGCATTCTTAAATTCAGCAGATGCAGAAAATGAATATGGGAAACTAGAAGGACTACTAACCTTTACATCTGATAATAATTCTAATTTGTATTGTTCCAAATTTCTAATCTCTTCAACATTTTTAGATTGACTACAGGAATGTTCTGGTATAACCCATGGTTTCATCCACTCATTATTTTTATGAATATTATTTTCCCTTTCCTTTGAACTTTTATCATCATAAGCATAATTATCATCATTATGATCTTGTTCATTTTTATTATTTTCATAATTATTTAAACTTATTTCTTTTAAATTTATTTGTAATACAGGTCCCCTAAAACCAGGGTCCACGTTCAATGTAGGGTCTCCCTCAGGATTACCCATAATTATATCATATCCTAAACCTAAATACTTAAGAGACAAATAGTTATATTTTTTATCATTATATACTTCTTTTAAATTTTCTCCTCTTTTTCCTTTTGTTATAATATTATCTACATTATTTTCATTTTTTTCTTTAATAATAGTATCATCATCATTTTTTAATATCATACTATAGTGTGTTTTATTTATAGGTAGTGCATCACTTAAACTAAAATCCTTATAATAATCCCTGTTATTTATTCTTCTTCTTATTGTCATTCCTTTATATACATTGTCATTCATATTTTTATTACATGTGTCACAATCTGGACTATAATCACCTTTTTTTAAAACATCAATGAGATCTGAATCATTTATATTATAATTGTAATTGTAATTGTAATCATTTTCATTTTTTTTTCTTTTATATATTTTTTTTCCTTTTTTTTTTCCTTTATCCATATTCATAATATATTTTATAAAATTTAAACTCTTAATAGTATCTTTCCCGTTACTATGATATGTTATATTTTTATTATTCTCTTCCTTATGGTTTCGATTTATTCCTTCCTCATATTCATCAATATCTTTATTTTTTATTGGATATTCTATTTTAATAAATTTATCATTCTCAAAGTAATTCTTACCTGTACTGTTCAGTTCTTTTTCTTCAATAAATTTTGAATTCATTTTAATTTTGTTCATTTCTTTATTTTCTGGAAAAGTATTATGTAAAAAAATTTCTTTTTCATTTCCTTTATTGATATCAAATGAACGATTATTAAATTTATTATTTTTGGTGTGTTCCTCTTTTATTATTTCTTTCTTTGTATTCAATTCGTTAGATAGTATTTCATCTTGTCCCAACTTATCATTATTTATCTCATTCATATGTTTATTTATAATAGAAAAATTTGTGCCATGCTTTCCTTTATATTTTTCTTCATCTATTTTATTATTTTTTTTTTGAGGAAAAAAATTTGATTCATAATTATTATCATATAAAGAATTATCTAATAAACTATAACTATAATGCTTTTTGATAAATGTTTTATTTATTTTACTAGAATGATTCTCTATATTGTTACTGTTTTTTTTCTTTAAAATATCGAAGGGGTTATGCTCTTCCAGGTTATTTATGCCATCTTTTTCATCATTGTCCAAATTATTATTTATTTTCTTACACTTTATATAAATTACAATGAAATGCACAAAAAAGAATATGTAGGAAAGATGAAATTTGAGGAGTATTTTCATTAATAATAATAATGGATATATATATATATATATATGAATACGTGTTTAATTAAATAATATGTTACATACAAATGAGTTTTTTTTTTTTTTTTTTTTTTTTTTTTTTTGAAATCTCTTATCCTGGATAGAATTGTTATAAATTTTAGATCATAATAAATATAAAATGAAATATTATATTTCTCGTTCATATATTCTATATGTAATTATTTTTTTGTTTTAAATGAACTTATATTTTTTGTAATATAGATTAATAAAAAAAAAAATAATAAAAAAAAAAAAAATAAATAAATAAATGAATAAAGAATGTTAGACAACCTATTTAATGGTAAAATTAATATATTATAACTTTAAATATTAATTAGACAAAAATGAAAATATTTTACATATATATATGTATATTTATACTGATTTATTTATATGTCTTATGACAATTTTAGAATGTGATGGCTAAACGGGGAACATAACAAAACATTATTATGTTTCATTATTGCTACTTATATTATTCGTTAATGAATTATATTTATTAAATGTATAAATATATAACATATATTCATGTTTTTATACTATTCATCTTATTTCTATACTTATAGGAAAAGCAAAAAAAAAAAAAAAGAAAAAAAAAAAAGACTTCATAAAAAATAAATACATTAATGTAAGGTAGAAATTCCTTCTTTTTAAATTTAAATATGTTTATACATATTATGTGTATTTACATTTTATATATATAATTTATATAAAATATTAAAATTTTAAAGTGAGCTAACTTTGTTGAAACGGTAAACATAAAAACACAAACATAAATATATTATATATATATTATATATATATATATATATATATAACTATATATTAATAAATATATTCTATCCATATAAATAGTAACTATAATCATAACAATATTTTTTATTTAAAAAATTAATGCTCGAATCGTAATAACATATTTTACATTAACAAGGAACTTATTTCACTTTTTTTTTGTATTATATGCAAAATGATATATAAACGTTAACATCTCTTTTTGCTAAATTGCGTTGTGATATTCTTTTAACAAAACAACAATACTTTTAGGAAAGACAAAAAAAAAAAAAAAAAAAAAAAAAAAAAAAATACACATATATGTAATTGTTTTTTTCTTTTGAAATATTTTCCAAATAAAACAAGTTAAAATAAAAAAAAATATATATTTATTTTTTTTTTTTTTTGATTCTTTAATCTGAATGATAATATTATAATTTAATCACTTATGTGATTAATATACAATAATTACAACTTTTTTTTTTTTTTTTTTTTTTTTTTTTTTTTTCTTATAAACAAATCCAAAATGAAAAAGGATAAAATACATGTTAATAAGTGTTATCAGTATGTTTTAAAT